GGGGGGGAGGGGGAGGGGGAGGGGTTGGGATGAATCAATCTATTCGGGCGCAGTGTGCTATAAAATTGATAGAGCATAGAGCGAATTGATGCGAGGGATTAAGAGGTTAGGGAGCGTAACATCGATATGGGATGTTGGTTGAAAAAGTACGCACCAGCTAAGCCGCTTGATCCAGTGGCATATAGCCATCGCGGCCTACATTGGGGAAGAGAAGACAAGAAATTAAAGGTGTGCTGGTACGCACTGGTTCTCTGAAGCCAAATATCATATAGTGCTCCACACCATGCTATCCAAATAGACTTATAACCTGCAATAATTTGTCACTATTCTATCTTTCTAGGAGCGGGTGTAAGTACTGCGAAAAATGTGTGCGTGTGACCAAACTTTTGTGAGACAAGAGGGACGAAAGCGTCACTACAACGTTTGAAAAAAGTTTATTTAATCATAACTAATAACAAATGCCATAATATTTTAAGATTGGAATTCGATCTTCAATCTAATTAATCTAACACCTGATTTAGCAACTAGGTCAATGTAATCTCTAAAAAAATAGTAAAAAATCCGATCGTTTTTCAGGATCGAAGCAATCGAATTCCATTCCTTTCTCACCATCCTAACTAAATGCAGAATATTTCAGTCCACATCTGTGAGACACTTTTCAACCTTGAAGAATCGAATGGAAAAATATATGCATATTGCCATCTTCAAATCAGCCAATGTCGTGTCCGATGAGGATTTTAAGTACCAAATGGTAGGTATATATGAAGTAGTATTAATTCTATTCATCGCCCCGGTGCATTCCAACTTAGATTAAGCAAAAGCTTACACTTTAAGATCTATTAGAGTTGGAAGGAGATAATTAATTAAAGCAAAAGGTACCCAAACAAACAAAATCGATGGCACATGCAAAGCACAGATACGGCACGCAAATGAACAATCACACATCAACCAATAATACTAGATGTGCGAAACTGTAACCATGACAACCACAATCACGAGAATCACTTACCGGAAGTCTTTGGTTTACGAGGACGGCGTTTCCTGAAAGTCGAGAGAAAGGGCAATTTAAGGCGCGGCCTCGATAAAAAACAATTTTAATAATAGAGAAAAGCTGAAACCTACTTTCTTGAAGATGTATCGCCTTCACTGGTGGCCGGTCTCATGTAAAATGCGTGGTAGGAAATGTAGTCGCTTAAATAGCAAAATAATAAAGATATAGAATCTGGTTAAAAGAGGTTCAACTAAAGTCTCAAATGAGTACAGAGATGATTTACACCGCAACAAAGCACTCTGCATTTCTATACCCTAGCCATTCGCACACGTAGAAAACGCAAAAGTTAGTTGATCAATAAATAGAATTACTACTTATTACGAATAAAAGTAGACTTAAGACCGTAAAAACCTTAATGCTCGGCTCTATAAAAACAAAAAGTATTCGTCCTTGGGGAAATAACTCACGGTTGGTTGTAATCCGGACTATACTTCTCCGTCTTGCGATAGAGGTTAACTGATTTCACTCCAAATATCAAAACAGGAATGCAGAGGACTAGGAAAATACCGAGTCCGAACCAAATGCCATTCTAGGGAAAAATTGATATACAAAAGTTACAACATGTCTGAAATTGCACTTTTTTGTAGTTAATGCCGATTGGGCTGAATCTTACTGGAGGATCCAATAAAGTGTGGCATCCAGTATTGACGACACTCGTCGCTGCACTGTGTAGACGAGTGCATGGAATATCGCGCCAGCTCGCGATTACTGCTAGGCGAAGTTCCTTGAGGAACAGAGGACGCATGCTCTCAATTTGGGTTCGAATCGACTAAAAAGGGAAAGGGAAAGTGGGGGGTAAAAAAACACCTAGGGTAGAATAACTGACTTAAATCCACTGAGACGAAATGCAACGGTGACTTAGTAACCCTTTACTGCACTTCGGCATCTGATAAGGTAAACAAGCATTCTACTAACTGACAGGAATTTCAGTACAAAATAACAAGCTGACGACGCATTTTAAGACAATTTTTGCGTCAGAAAATCATCAAGATAGGTAACCTAATAAAAGTTTTTTTGCCAAAGGTTGGGGTTTTAATTTCAGTGCTCAAAGCATTAGATTAGGTGAAATGGGATCCCGAAATGAAGAGATTTTGAACAAGAATAAGAAACCGAAGTCGAATCAAGCCAAAACATTTTTGGTTTCAGAGAACCGAAGTAAAATATGGCCTCCAACTAGCATATTTGAAGAGCCATTGATAGTGAAACATTTTGATCGAGGAGATCACCGAGTATATTGGCGCGACGATCACTAGAATGGTGGGGGTTGAGTTGAGATCTTTTGCATCTTATTTTAACTTTAAACTATGCACCATTGAGCATTTAAATTGCCCCACAATGTTTGCATATTTCAAAGCAAAAAAGTTTGTTCACGCATCAATTTAGTCGTGTGAATGAATTAGATATAGTCTGGTCATTATTTAAAATGTGAGTTCTTCAAACGGAATCCCACTTCTAACAATCTCAACTTAAAATTTCACTTTTTTGGTAGTTCTTTTTTGGTAATAATTAGAAAAGAGGGCAAATAAACAGCCCTAGAATTAGTCACTCAAGTTGCTATTTTTAAGGTTCATGGGGGGTTGGCAGCCTAAGGCCTATTATCAAATTGTGTGAATCATCGGTTGAGTCATAGCTTTCATTGCGCCCAATAGAAGGGGGATATGAGATTTCAGCGTGCAGATTTCACCAGGCAACCCGAAGTTGACTATACACTGCATTGTTATCTAAGTAACGAAATTCACAATATGACTCCCGGACGTCAGACCGAATTTGAGGCATTGTAAACAAGAAGGGGAATGAATGAATTCTGATAAGAATACTTAAGTGAAAAGGGAGCGATATAGGTTTGCGTGTCTCTTAGTCCTCTAATAGCTATATATATAGAGAGGTGATAACGAAAGGGGCCATAACTATAACAAATTTCGGGACTGAATCATACTCTAAAAGCATTCGCATGCGAAACTAATGCTGTGCGCCATCACTAATATCGCTTAATACGTTGCAATTGCATTAGGAAAGTAACCCCCTGTTGCTTTAGAGCCACAGTAATACTAGTAACCACAGCAAGTGCAGTCAAGGCGTAAAATGATACTCCATGTTTTGAGTGAAAACAAATACTTTATGTGAGTCAATAAAATTAGGTTAGGCAGGTTGGAAACAAATGTTTAAAAAAGTCCTAAAAAGGTTGATAAAAAATTGCCAAGTAAGTAATAGGAGAGAAAGAAAGGAAGCCATATATTATGGTGAAGAGCAAGCAGAACTGCGTGGTCAAAGGGTCATTTGTGAAAGGGTTAAATTAGCAGTGATAGTTAGGCTAGAGCATTTTAAAACTGTATTTAAAAGGGAGAAGAACTAGGGAAAAGAAGTTGAGCACTGATGAGTCATTCTCATCGACCACTTAAGGTGTGGTGTGAAGAGGCTAAAGGTATGCGAAAGTAGAGGGCAATTTCTCCTTCCCATGCGATTCTGCTACCCTTAATTAGACAGGAGTTGCCGTCAAATTAGGGTCCTAGTCATTTTCAGTTTGTAAGAACTTTTAAATGAAATGTAGCAAATAGAAAAGTAGTGCAGTAGGACATAACGATAGGCGCTGTCCAAATCAAGGCCACAGCATCCCAACCGAACGAGCCCAGATGCCGCAGTAGTAGCAATTTTAGGGACACAGGGGTAAGGAAGTGCAAGTGTGGAAAGACCTAGTTATGTGACAACAAGGACATGGAACTTCTAATCAATAATTTGAACAGGAGCGATAGAGTGCATGGAAGCATGCTCGCATTGAGGAAGCATCATTTTGGGTGAAATTACGAAAAAAAGATTGGCTAGAATAATAGCAAGGGAAGGATAAACGATTGAAGTAAATGCTTGAAGTTGATTCTACATGAATGGAATTAATGATGGGATAAGGCTACATGAATGGAGTTAATATATCAAAAGTTGAGAATCTGCATAAGCACGAGCACACAATTGAGGAGATGACGCATGCATTGAAGGAAAAGAGCGGCCAAGTGAATGTATTAATAACCACATGAAAGGGATTTTCTCTAGTAGAAATTGTATCCAACAGCCATATTTGAAAAACAGAATTATTTTCATTTGCGAGTTATGTATCTGGCCAATTATATCAACAACATCAGCGTGCACTGTTATAGAACAATTCCAGCACAAGTAACTAGACAATAGAAAGGAGTCCGATCAAAATATAGAGTGGATCCAAGTGGTACATAGGAGCTTGATTAGAAAGTGGAGAAAAAAGTCCTGAATGTTTTTCCAATCGATCAGCTGATTTAGCACATTTCTAATCTTTATCTTTACAAAATTGCGATATATCGAAGAAACTATACAAACTTGAATGAACTTAATGGTTAGAATGTACACTAACCATCTTACAACACTTCCTGGTGGGTGTTGGTTACACTTTTGTTTACAATTGGAGGTTGCATGTTTACATTATTGTTTGTACCTGTTTAATTTGAAACCAGTAAGAGTTAAATGGACACTTTTCAAGGTAAGATCTTGTAGGGCAGTATAAAAGACGACATTCTTTATTTAGCTTGATTACACTTGAAAAGACACTTTGAGGGGTTAGTAAACATAGAGCAACTTGACAGTTCACTTCAAGACTCCGACTAAACAGACGTCAGTGTAATTCATATGATTCAACATCCAAATGAAATATCTAAAACTGCAATTCAAAAAAAAGAAGTTAGCAAATAAATCATGGAAATTGTGCCCACAACTTCGAGTTGACGTGGGGCCGTAATCAAAGTAATTGTAAGTTACAATTTTGTCGAATTAGATTAACGGTGTAATTGAGATGGAGAAAAAATCCTTTAAAGAATTCAACTTTGAAAACAAATTAAAATACTCGTTAACAAATATTATCTTACTAACCAAGAGGAATGAGATTTCTAATTTGATGAATTAAATATACATTGCTACGTGTTAACTACCCGTAATATCATAGTGAAATTACGAACTAATACAAATCTTCATTTGATGACTCGCGATGATTGTGGGAATGTCAAACCTTCATAAACACAGGCGCACAAAGCTTCCGAAAATGGAAGACATTGGTTATGGCATAAATATAATCTCTGACTCGGTTTCAAAAACAGACAGAAAGGGGTAGTAGAATGGGTTGCAAAAGCAAGGTCGTCCGACCAATCACAGGAGGCTTGAGCAGAGCCGGCCAATGGGGATGCTCGGATTTGGATAGGAAGGGGAGGAGACAAAGAGTTGTTGCAAGGTTAGACGGGCTGGCACAAGTAGGCGAATTGATATGGCTAAGGGCTAGGGGTAACGTCAGAGTATGCAAATTATGAAATATGAATATTTCCAGAGAAAGGAGATTGTGAATTGCAGATTTACAGACTGAGCGAGCTGACAACAAATGACAGAAGAGGAAAACAAAGATTACCTTACAAAATAACTCCGAAGTTGAGAGAAAAAGAGAACCTGCCACGTTAAAAAGAGTGAACATTTGCTTACTAATAACTGAACTATGCAGATCACAGAAAAAAACTCCAAAAAGTGTTAAAAATGCAAAAATGTTAGTAGGCAAAGCGCAGTAGTGGAAACTCATTTTGATTTATCGCTTCAAGAGTGGCCATCAAGTGAATTTCAAAATGATGAAGATGATAATTGGGTATGGCAAAATCAAAATATGAGAAAAAACGAGCAAGGGACAGAAAAGACACAAAGGAATTAATAAGGAAAAATCGGTAACAAAGAGGAAAACACCTCTAGGGACCATGATTTCACTGATACTTGAAGAAGAACGCGACTTTGTCACCTGGAGACAATCTAATACAATATTAAAGATGTTGCCCGGTTGAAAGGCAGCAGTAGTGCATTATTTAACCAGATGTTCAAGAGTTGTGTGAAGGAAGTGGGAAAAGGGAGGCAAGCGAGAAACTAAACCGATAGTGCAACAAGAGCTTTAAGACAACCGGGTTTTGACGAAATGCGTGGGCTTTTAGTCTGGACTTTACACCAGATGTATGCAAACAAATAATCGATACTATTTGGGAGCGGGCAGTTGATATCAGCGCACAAGTTGGCACAATACATTCAGGTTCCTCTCCGGTAGAGAATTTGATTCTTATTGCGTATAATGATATAAAGCAAAGCAAACAGTTAAGAAATCCTACCATTTCAACAAAGAATATGGAGCTCCTTATCTTCAAAAGAAATTCGGCAAACTTATAGGCGGTAGATGAAATATGTACGCAATCGAAATGAGACCCAAAAATAAAAAGTGAACATATCCTTCCACTTCATCCACCCCCCCCCCCCCCCCCCCCCCCACCCAAACCAATACAATTTGACCCAGTTTGAACAATATACCACTTTAAAAGAATGCAAACAAGCTCACAGTTGGCACAGTGCGATCTAGTTCAGATGAGAAGCTATTTAATTCCTCAGCCAATTGATTGTAAGTTCCATGAATGGAATGGAGATCGGCATAGAGTTGACGAATACCACTATCCATGCGGGTAGACAAAAGGCCAACGGTTTCTTGTAGTGACGCGATTGGGTCCTTCAGATTCTCCTATATCAAAAGACAAAACATGAAAGGAACAAAGATAATTGGGACCAAATATTGATTTGAGATGCATGACTTACGATTTTCAGATTCTTCAGTTGAGTAATGTAAGCGTTGAAGTCAAGGATTTCCGTCAGTCTTTCATTTGTCTATTTCGAAAGAAAACGGAATGAAAGCTGATGACTAGTTTACAAAATTAGAAGACCCGAGTTTCGATGAGTAAAGAATGGAGGGGTAGGGAAGTGCTTTGTTTGTAAATCATTTTTTTCTACGCTTAAACCGAGTTCTCAAACCCAGACATAACAAAATTGCCTCTAAGTGATCCATCTTATGTACAGATAGTACAAAAGAATACGCAATATCCTAAATCACTATTTGTCTCGAAAACTATAAGTTGAAAAACGTGACTGCATTCAACAAATTTCTCTACACGCCGTGGTTTTCTAATGATCTGCCTTTTGCTTGTAGCTTAAGTATCAAATGTAATATTTCGATTTTTACAAATGAAACAGAATGTTCAAGCACACAACTTTCAATTTTCGCATAACAGTAAAGGGAAGAAACCCTATCGCTCATCTTCATTCAAGGCCTAAATCAAACAAAAATCTATTATGTTTTGTCATAGTTACTTGAATGGGAATTCAAATATTTAGTGACCAACATAACGGCTCCACTTGGATTGATGCCTACATCTTCAAAAAGTATCCCACCTGTCATGAATGACCTTGATGAACCAATGAAAGGTGAGAGCTGTGAAAAAGGGAATGTATTGTCAAGTTTGCGCTGTTGAAGGAAATAAAGGGATGAAGAGGGACAAGTGTGCTTCCAGGAGTAAAAAATGGGTTTAGGGAAGTAACATTTGAAATTATGAGATATGCGTCGATTGTGGCCTACCGATTAGTTCTATCTTTAGGAATGAATAGCTATGTCAAAATGGTGATTAAGATAATGCACTGAGAATTGAGCGCTCTACTAAAACGCAAGCACCCATTCAGACGTTAGGCTTCTTTTAGTAAGGATGCGTTTTAACCCTTTAGCACCGAATTATTTTGAAAGAGAAATGTACGGTCCTAAGGGCGTGACCACGAAGTTGTAAGACCATTCCGATTCGCGATCGCAACAGGTTTTAAAAAGCATTCACCTGAAGACAGTAAGGTCAACAAGGTGCAAGCTGTAATTCAATGTATTAAAAGGGCATGTAGACAATTCAGCTACCTTAAAGTCAGGATTAAATAGCGGCAAAGCGCACAGACCAACATATAAAGACAGCCGTTAAGCTCCGCGCAAACATTTAGCACTCTCATTTGATATTTTTCGTCTTTGAAGTTATTTAAGCAAAAAAAATGAGGCTATTTTCACAAATAAAAATAAGTTGGGAGAAATTTTGTGGCGTTACCTGCTGCAGAGCCTGGGAGAAATCGTAGCGTTGAAGATCACGAACTTCAGTGAGTTTGTTGAGAGTATCCACAGCGGTCTTCCTCAAAGGACTAATTAAATCAACTTCATTGAATGTTTTTAGAATACTCTCCAGAAAACTGTTGATCGACTAAAAGAAAGCAAAAAAAACAAAATTATTTGAATCAATTCAAGCCGCTAACATAAATCAGAAATTCTAATTTACTAATGATTAAATGATTTAAAGAAATTAAGGGGTTGGGGGAAGAATGTATAAATTTCACTGGGCAACATATCTCCCGCAATTAAGGGGAGGAAAGATTCATTGTGCATGGGAAAAAAAGACACTACTAGTGACCAAGTAAAAATCGAAGGAGGTAATAAGAATCACCCCGACCCCTCCCAAAAATGCACCATATTTTCATGCCCAAATTGGAGACAGAAGTAGTTAACTCTAATTGTTTTGATGAAAAAACGACCAGAGGCAAGTGATTTAGTATTTCTTACGATGTTTACTCTTTTCAAGAAAAAAAAACACTTAAATCAAACAAAAATGAAAAAATGAGCTCATTAGATAACAACTAGTGGAAAGTCATTTCGAGAGAAAGGCTAATAGTTGAAGACATATTTTGCGACGTGAATTCGGAGGCTAAGAATATCAATCAAGTGAGGGGACGTAAAACCTCTAAAGTCCCCTCTCCCCCCCCCCCCCCCCCCCCCCAAATTATTTCCTATTTTCAACCAAATTCGAATATTAGCAAAACTTTTCCTATCATGTACCCACATCTTAGAACACGCGATTTTCACATACACTAACCTTTCAAATTATGAAGAGTTCGAACGTGTTTACCTTATAATGCCATAGAAACAAGGTTTAAATTCTTGTGAACTTGAAAAAGGAACGAAACGTACCGCGGTTTCATAAGTTTATTCGACAATAAACAAAATACCCAAAATAGATTCTAAGACAGGGTGGATTAGTGTAATCAATTCGGTTGTCGGTAGATTTGAAAAATGACCAAGTGAAAATGAAGTAGAAAAACGTAGTTGAAACACGAAAGACTTATTCTTGTGAAGTGCCGATATGAGGATTACCATAATCACCATAGGGGGGGGGGTATGGGCGATGGACTTACCTCCATGTGGTGAACCATGGGGAAACATATACTCATACGGCAAAACCAGCAGTTGACTTCAAACTGCCATGACCAGAGTGTGTCATATTTGACCACTTCCAAAGCACTCACCTTTCATTTTTCTCACTTTTACATCAGTAAATCAATCTTCTGTCCACCCCCCTCCCCCCACCTCGACTTTTCGTGACTTTGATGCTCCTCCCCGCTGCTAATCCCGAAGTCAACTAAAGGGGAATTAATAAATACTATAAAGCTTGCCATTTAATATAAAATAAATAATTACTATTGAGAAGAAAAGACCACGAAAGTCAAACAAAAATGGACACAAAATATATGATTGACACAGAGCGACGCAGAGGGATGCACTTGTAGCCAAAGGGGTCTTGAAACTTGAAATAATCAATTCAGTAAACCGCCTAAGTACTTTCGGATTCCGCTAATTGGAGGCAGTCTAGTAAATAAAATGGGCAAATTTACAAATACTTCACAGGCAACAAGATGGACTAAACGCAGAAGGAAATAGAAATTTGATTAGACAATTTCGAATAACGACAAAATAGCGAAAAATAAGATTAAAACAAAATGCTCCCATCGCAACCCAATACGCAGAAGTCGGTCATGATCTTAAGACATAAGGTGTTCTCTAAGCATAAACCCGCTCAATGAGGGGAGATTATAAAACGAAGCTAAATATTGAACCCTTTAAACGGACAATAAAGGCCCTACATGACCTATAATTAGGTGAGAAAAGTGATTTGAGAAAGAGTTGATCAAGTCGATAAGAGGAGAAAATTTTGACAGATACTCCAGATACATATACGAACCTCAGAAAGTGAATGAAGCTAGTCCGAGCAAAAGCAAGGAGAGTGAAAATAGCATCTCAATGTAAAAATTTCGTCTGATTTCAAATGAGCATAAACAAAAGAAGTTCAAGCAGCCTATCTTAATCTACTTCTGGGCAGAGGGTCGTTCTGAGGCCTCCACAACTATCTATGTTTTGTCTAAACCTTCTTGAATTGACTTGAACCATTCCAATTCAATTCCCACGAGATCACGTAGAAACAGATCTAATACACGTCGACTTTTACGGGGTCTCAAATGTAACAAAGGTGAGCGCTATTTACTGATTACAATAATTAACAGATGGTGTGAACGCCAGACCATCAACACTCAAATTTCCAACGGGGACATGCCTTTCGTTAATGCCGCAAAATCTGTTTATGACGGTAAGGGCTGTCAAATTTTGATTGTGTTGGCTATTATGACCGGAAGGATGACGTATGCACAAACGGCACTTGAAAGCAAAATCAACTGCGCATTTACGCGAAATGTATTCAGGCAAATTCATATCTTGAAATAAAAATGAATCAACCTCCCAGCAATAAATGAGCAAATCTGATGTGCCCGAAGCTCACAAGTATTCGAATAATGAAAAGAAATTACCAAAGTAATGGTTACGGTATAATAGTTAGTTTAAATAATAAGGTACTATTTGGACAGGGGACATACGCAGGGATTTCAGAATAACCTTGACTAAATATAGAGGATTTGAGATTTCGGTTATAATACTGAGCGCTTCGCATAACCTCAATTGGAGTTAGATTATCTGGTCTTAAAAGCACTATTCCTGAGATTTTGAGAGCGTTCAATTGGAATTAAGCGCTCTAAATAAGCGGATTAAGCTTCAGTTGAAAGCAAGTGAGCTAGCATTAACCCACCATCTTGACCATGAGAAGAAAATTTCTCGCTAGCTTGCACCCACACCAACGACCCTGTTAATGCAAAAAGATGGGAGTGGCAACACCACCCAATTCCCCTAAACTCAGTCAGTAAAGGAGGAATTCGAACAGTATTGTAAAAAGTAATCTTGAAAAAATAGAAACTGCGCCTGAATATCAATATCACTAATGGCATTAGTATTCATGTTAGAACTGCGACTGTCGTAAATTAGAACTGATGGCACCATCGTCCACTGCAGTAACAGCAACTTCCACAAACACCTACCAAATTATAAAGATAGGACACAGAGTATGACCTACTTATTCTCCAGCCAAGCAATACTCTAATATGAAGGTACAAGAGGAAGACCCCGTTTTAAAGAAACTCCGAGTTGGTGACTCAGAGATATCTGAGTGGGATGAAAGAACACCTTAATTCTTAGATAAGTACAATGGGCATTCCAGTTAACAGTAGGTTACTTTTAAACGATGACCTTCTTACCAAAGGTGCATGTAAGGAATTGTAGAACAATGGATGAAGTAAAAGGAGAGAGAGAGAGCAGGGGTACTCACATTATCTGGAACCATCATTCCGACAACTTCATCTCCAAGAGAATCCACAAGACTTTCATTAGCACATCGAGTCAACAGGGTAGAGAAAGGTCTCGCGCTGGCCACATTCACATAATCTACCGTGCTATTGCGGGTACTGAATGTTCTGATCGATACTAGAAGGTCATCAAGAACAGCAGGTCCGTCGGGGTAGCGGTGAGTGACGTAGCGACAGAACTCTGTTTGAGCCAAACCGGCAGATAAGAAGATCACAGTGCAGACGATCATTAAAAGAGTGGAAAAAAGGAAGGTGAAGACGATACCACTGAAAGAAAGAAATCAAATTTGAGGTAACTGTCTAAAGCGATAGGAAGCAATATAGAGATCTTGAAAATGCTTTTTCTACCATCTAAGTGTTTCCTCTGTAACAAAACACAACTAAAGTTGACGTCGCCATTTATGAATAAACTGGAGTGAAAATATCCTAAGTCAGCCAATATCTTGAGCATATCGTGTAATCACCTATTTTCGAAGTGTCTGATCCAGATTGGAAGAAGTAGATCATGATTTGCCCCGTCTTATTGGATTCTCTACAATAATGACCCAATTGCATGCAATGAATATTACCCCTCTGAAACTCTATCTTCATTTCAACTAAATAAGACCCAAATCAACTTACGAAAACGTCGCAACATGGAGCATCTCTGAAGACAAAGTCAAATTCAGATGAGATGCTTTAGTGGTCGAATTTCACCGGATAATAGAAAGCCAATCCGAGGAATGAACCCATGTGACTTCTTACTTTAAATACGAATATGTCAGTCAATGCATCAGAAGCACATATTCCAAGAAGATTTCTATTCCAGATTTCTTGATTGTGAGGAAATCTTAATATACTGCCATCTTGTATTAAGATCTGTGCAGCTTTTTAAATTCTAGTTCAAATTTCAGGAAAAGATCAACTGCCCAACGCAAATTTTAGTAACCCAAAATAAAAGGGACTCTCCCGATACTCAATCATTGTGATAGAAAGTGACTGATTTTGAGAGTGAGAAGGCAAGAGAACTTACGAGAGAAGGAAATTAGCACCGACACCACGATTGCAGAAGCTTGCCTCCTCGTGTGGCCGATCACCGCAGACCCCGAAGGAGAGACCAAGGTAGAAGAGGAGAATAATGAATGCGGGAAGGCAAAGAAAAGCAAAGCCACTGTAGAGAATGATCTCATTTCCACCTCTGAAATATGAAGAAAGTGAAATGACATTGAACCTGCGGCGAACTAAAGCACCAAATTGTTCAAGAATTAAATTTTATTGCACATTTCCCACACTATTTCATGCAAATTTTCTCGTGAATTCTCTTAGCATTTGCTACCATTAGTTGGCCCAGACATTTGCATTCGATTCGTCTACTGAGGCTGTCACTCGTGACAGCGACTACGTAATTGAACTGCACCCAATTACAAGAAACAAGATATCCGTGGAAAATTCTAAAAACCATGTAGAATATAGGTATCGACATAATTATCCTACATAGCTTCAAATATGCTACAAATAAAGGCAGATTTTAAGACATAAGGATTTCGTCAAATATTGAGACTGTAACACAAACTTTGAAAAAAATAATTGACAAATTATACAGAGAGAAGGGACAATAGAACAATAGATTTGATTAATAATCTATTAGAAAAATGGGCCTTCTTCCACGCATAAAAACTTGCCAGCTCCCTGAACTGATATTATTACCAAGGCTAATTAAGAAAGATCCTCATTTGAACTTTTGCGTCTCTATAGGTACAATTTAAAGAACATTCGTGTCTCTACTGCAGCTTTTGAAATGAAATAGTTATTTAAATACACTTTGCTTAGGGATTTCTTCCCCATGTTAAAACTATTTTAAGCCACACTAATATGCGAGACGAATTGTAACCAACATCTTTACACAGTGCTTACGCATTTTGCCTTAAAAACACCAATTTGTTAATGGGATTGCATTCCAGAGCAGACATGTGTAACCAATTAGTGAAAGGACATTACTGCGCAAAATTGTATTTCGATGGGAAAAAATTGACCCCAACCATAGACTAGAAATTCATCTTATTCACTTAAAATCTCGTCACCATGGGCAACAAATTGTGTACCTTACTCACCAGTAGGCAAGTTAGTATCATCTTAAATATTGACTAAAATCTACATTTTGATTGGCATCCATTTCACGAGCTTGATCAGAAACCACTCTATTGACTTATACGCCCAATAATTTACAACAAAATCCAAACAGGATATCACAACTCCACTTTCTGTGCATTCAGCTAACCCAATTTCATTAAAGCTTTAGAGCACGACTACAGACTAAAGGTATCTCCTTCCCCACCCCCCAACTCCTTCCTTATTCGATTGCAATAAAATGAAAGCGTTAGTCATAGAAATGACCTTTTCAACTAAGAGTCAGATAAGGAGGAAAGGACTGGGGAGAGGAAGGGGTAGCGGAATTAGGCACAACCTTAATCAAATAAATAGATCGGGGCGGAAATTTTAAAGACGACCTGACCCCAATAAAAAATGTCTACGAATTTCTTAGATGCTTCTGACTAAAAGTCTAGCACATACCAAATCCCATCCCACCTTTAACAGCACACATTGTCATGCATCGGGTTTTGATTTGTGGAATACATGATTACAAAGATAGATAGGAATGAAAATGCCTGTACTTAATAAATAACTTCAAAAGAACTCAAAAAACTTAAAAAATCGTAAGTCAAGGCGTTAAGAAGGGATAGGAACCAAAGCAAGTATACACAATAAAACACAAAGAAACCTACTCGATTAAGGGTTTATCCGAAGTTGTGTAATTGTAGAAAACTTCATTTATTTGAGATAGCCATGATTTCATGCTGTCTGCAACGGCTTCGAGGGTTTTGACCAGGTCTTCCCGCGTTTTAGGGGAATTCGAAAGGTCATTCCAGGCATCTGAAAAAGAAGAGGGGGGGAGTTATAATTTGACCCCAGAGAGAGGGGTTAATGAGGCAACTTTAAGGAAGGCAGAGTGTGATTCATTTGGATTAGGAGTGGGAGAGAGAGAGGGCTAGAGAGGCATTGAAACCGACTCGACAGAGTTTATTTAATGGCCGGACGCGCGTGCGGTGATTCATTTCACAAATAGCTGTCAGCAGTTATGAATAGATGATTTACTGACTGCATAGGTTGAAACTGCCCGCACCCACAAAGGCTTATAAACACAAGTCATTGGCCGCTTAAAACAGAGGAAAGAATTGGAAGCAAGCATTAGTGCCAAAACTTGAATAATACTACTGCTCAAGTCCTTTGAGACCATAGCACACAGTGCTAGACATGCACTCGAGGTGGAGTGAAATAACAAGACCAAGATGCTATTTTGGTTTTATTTTAATTAAATAATTAAAACAAAAGGTACTATATGTAGTGAATCGGTAAGAAACTTTGTGATATCTTCCCAAAAGCGATCGCTTTCATTCGGGAAACGGTTTAAGGATCAATTAATACCTAGATTAAAACGAAAAACACAGAAAGGAATATTGCATACCATCAAGAATCGGTTGGATCGCCTTCTTCACGTTCTCCTTCATTTTAAGCAGAGGAGCATTGAACTATAAAGAGAAAGATGTAAAAATTGATTCTGTCTTGGGGGTAAACACGGTTGGTAAACATGGTACACAATGCCGAACAAAGAACTTGGCACAAAGTGTTTAAATCGGAACGAGCGAACTCAAACCGAATTATAGAAAAAAGGGGGTCAAGTGAACTGAAAGATGGCAACATGGCGACACCGCAGCCACCAGCATTTCAGTCGTTCAATTTACGACTTGGCTCTAGGCCAAAAAGGAGGACTTACTTCGTCTAACTCCCTCACTTTATCCTGTGCATTTTCGAGAATTTGCAGGAAGGCTGTCACATCTTTCGTTTGGAACTGAAATGTAAAGAAAGAGATGAGCGCTTCAAGGTGAATTAAGAAGCTCAAATGAAATGATTTGCTCTCTGGTAGTAAATCGAAAGCAAAAAATGCACCAATTAATGCAAACTACCTGATCCTGTTTATTAGACAGGGAGATGGCAAGAGCAAACGTTCAATTAACTTATCAATAAGCTAGAGATGATAATGCAAGGTGAGGAGAAAAAAAAAAGAAAGGAAATAGCAACATGTCTCTTCTTTGTTTAAAACCTGAGTAATAAGCATCAAACATTATAGACATGCCTTTGTTGTAATAAAAGGGAGTGGGTGCTGTACAACTTGGATCCAAAAACATGAGGCAAGACCATCTGATACCATAACTTTATTCTCAGCAAATATTCTTCGACAACCCCCCCCCCCCACTTAGCAATTTTGGACATTCTTTAAACTGGTTTCAGTTAATTATGCCAATTAGAATTGGTAACTAATTGTTATATTGTAGGTAATCATAAACAATAGCCAATAAGACGCAAGTATCGAAAAGCATGGGGATAAAAAAGCACACTTTAAAGTTTAATTCATTACGATATGATGGAGTGAGATACAGAGTAAGCGAAGCGTTGGACAACATTATTTTTACAGATTTCAAACATTTTGCTTAGAACTGAATATATTTATCACAATAACCCTAAATCCGCTGTACTGAGACTAATTGGTTGTCACACCAAGGCTCCACTCGAGAAAATCCTGTGCATTCAAAATTAAAAGATGATACCCCAGGACAAGAGCTAATATTTTGATGGAAAAAAATTAGTGGCGAATGTGTCCAAATACTAGATTAAGCCAGTAATTACAATAGACTGAAATAACCAGCTGATAGTAAAAATGTAAAATCGAATGTTACGTGAGCCTGAAATTACTCATGGGCTAAAAAGGCGATAATACATTACTTCGAAGACCATATTAGCAACGCACCACTTATATGACGAAGTAGAGGAATTTCAGGTTTTTGTGCAGCCACACTTCCTCGTCACTGTGGCAATAAAATAGTAGGCCGGAAATGGTGACAAAATAGTTCCAGTAACAGAAATGAGCAATCTTTGTTCACACCTCGATTTGTAAACTTAGAAGTTGTGCCAAGAATAAGTGTACAAAAATCAAAAAAGCACTAATGACACTTTTTAAAATTTTATTGCATTTAGGATCAATCTCAGCCATAAATCCATGTTTTAACTTGAGGACAAATACTGCCCTTGAATAGATACGAAGGTAGGCAATCGCATAATGAATAAAGGAAAAAATGAGTATCTAAAGTTGAGGATCACAAGTCAAAATAAATTGCAAAGCAAATATTAAAAAGGCTGATCTAGCTTGGAACATGATTTACAATCAGATTTTTCAACAGACTACGAGAACAACCCTAATCTCCTTGTCTAATGGTTTTAGGAGAAGTGCATGTTTTCGAAATTAACAATCAAAGAAAAAAATTTAATCCCATAAAAACGGAGTTACAGTTTGCGACAGAAACACTTTTGCTGAACTGATGACAATAAGTAAACATGAAGAAAGCTTAGAAGTTAAATCCGGAATTTCAACAATGGAACCAAGGTATATAGCTGGGCAGATGTTATGTTTTGTGAAAAATTGTGAATATACTTCAAAGGGCAAATGTAGTAAAACAATCACGAGTAATGGGCACAGAATATGTCCAAGAGACACCATCAATTTGTACCCCACTTAAATAGACGGTTTCAGACAACCCTCAGTCTCTTGGGTTTGGGGTACAATGGTTGGAATTGCAACCATCTCTCGGATTTATTGTCTATCAGCTTAATATCGAGGGCATTCTAGAAGCATTAAGAATCTCTAATCTTGTGTCAGAGCACTAGGCACTCGTTTTACTAGTAGTGAATTAGCTAAGAATTAGCCTTATTAATAGGCTATTCCCGATTCTGATAACTCCAATAATGTGATTGAGTCAATCAAGAGGCTGATTCAGATCAGAAACTACTACTATAGATACCAATATTGCCATACAGGCCAGCTATGTCAAACATAGGGGGTCTGATACTCGACGAGAGATGAAAGTTTGGGTTTTCCCAGAGCACTTTGAGTACTCATTTGTTTTGATAAGAAAAAAAAGCTTATCAATTAGCCTGATTAGAGAAAATACAATAAAATCGACAAAAAAAGCTGAAATTAATCCAGTCAATCAATTGATAAATTGACATGAAATACCTCATCCAGAGTGTAGGCTACTTTGAGATCATTGTCCGTGGTAAAACGAAGTTCTCGGCAAGCACTCAATTGATCGACAGTGCACTCAGTATTGAGAATTCCGGAGATGGTCTTCTGAATGTATGGTAATTCCGCTTCGGTTTTTTCCAACAACATTATAAAGTCCTTCATGGCATTGGAATCCGGAGAACCAGTAGCGAATCTGTACACCACTGAAACCGAAAAAAACAACCTAGAAAGCAGTAATTTATTTTAATATAGAACGCTGATTTCTACGCCGGACTTCATTTGACTACAACAATTGTTCACAGATAAACGACGAATTGGTAACCCCTGACACCACAAAGGAGCGCATTAACCACCGAGCCGCAAACGTGCATTTGCGGAAAAAACCCTCAAGTCCATATGGAATTGCTTTTCTTCATCTAACCTAGCAACAAGTCGAATTATATCACCAAATTTAATTGAATAATTAAACACTGCGGTTATTTGTGACCCTCACTCATTGAGCATAAAGCCTTCATTCAGCGAACAAAAAGAACAAACAAGGTCTATAGGACTTTAACGGTAAACTGAAGAGCATGAAACCTAAGGATCAAATTATGAAATTCGAAAGTTTGTGAAGAACTTGATACAAAGATCTAAAACCTTCGTGGATTACACAAAAATTTGCAAGGCGACAATATGAGCAAAAGTAAGAAAAGTATTTTTTCTGACTACAATTCCTCCTGTTTGGATGGATGGCCATTCCATTAACACGGGCCCCATGAATAATAAACAAAACCCACAAGCAAATAACAAAGCGCTGAACTTCTAGGATAAACAACTTTCGAGTCAAGAAACTAGAGTCAAACGACGGTGTTGGGAAGTTAAGAAGCCAGGACGCGCTAGAGAGTCTTCCGTAAAATTAACTAAACGAAAGGTTGCAGGCTCTAAATTAAATGAAACGAAAATGAACAAAGGCTACTTGAATTAGCTTATTTAATAGTATCATCTTGGTACCTTACTTAGATGTCAAATCACAAGCAAAATTTTATTTTAGATCACAAATAGACAATGGCATAAAATTACAAATTAAATGATAAAAAATATCAAGAACCCAAACCTTGCTCTAACGCTTCTTTTTCTTTCATAACAGCGGCTGCACTTGAATTATCCACAAAGTCACGCTGGAAATCACTAATACCAACTGAGAGAAAGGAATTAAATTCAGATGAAATTTCAAGAATTACCATCAAAAACTTCATCAAATCGTTGTTTTTGAGCCACCAAATCAACGGAGGAGGAATTCTTTGCTGCCTATTCGAATAAAAGGCACGGATCTTAGTATAAACAGCAGAAACTTACATTCACGACTTCAGTTATTCCATATCGGAACTCTCTTGAGCTTAGTTCGAGCTGAGGAGCAAAACCAATTGATAACTCCTTGCTAGTTAGACTCTCATAGAACAGCTGATAATTAATGAAACACAGCACAATGGCCGCTCTAATGAGAAATAAATAATAAATCCAAACACTTACAATTGAATCGTGACCAGTAAAGCTAACGTAGTAGTATAGCAAACTCTTCGATACGGGTCTGCTTTTCTGTCCATTGGAGCCAGGCGGCCGCCGCATCTACCACAACACCGAATGCAACAAAAGAAAATTCCAACCATTGGAACTAGCGTAGCGAATAGGACACCAAAGATCAAACACCCCACATAGCCAGGGAAATACGCGAAAAACTACAGGGTTCATTAATAATTGGACTTAAAATAAGCGTACCGGAGATAGCATGATCGAGGGATACTCGTGATTTTTAGAATCTGTAAAACGTATATATTGGATAAGTTTAACATACCTGTAGTAACTTTGAGAATTTCTACAAATTCGTTTTGAGATGCATTACCCCTTATTAAATCAAGAAATAAATCAGCACCAGCATAAGAAAACTGAACACTTTTCCGTAGTTGGACTGTAGTAGCAGTATTGTTTGCATTCACATTTCGCAATAAGAAAATAATAAAAAATGCTATTATTAAAGACCGTTCAAGATACAAAGACGGCATTTTGACAAGAAAGAAGTGGGCTAGAGAGGGAGCGATTCCTTCACCCAAATGCGCATTAACGGCAATACAGACACCAATGGGAATAAAAACTGCTAAATGCTATGTTTCAAAGACCTTGAATTAGACCTTGGCCAAGATCACTATTGAATGGGAAAAATTTACCAATATTAGCGACACTTCCTCCTTATTTATTTATTTATTTCCGACATCATTTATTTTAATTTTTATATTCATCTAGCGGAATAACTCTCACGAAGATGAATTCTATTTTGAACAATTTATGCATATTAGCTATAAATATCTAATTTAAACCTAAATGCGCATTAAAACAATTCGCCTCAAATTATCTAAAGAGTAGTGAAGAACACAATTTTTCCCTTTTATCTTTATCATAAGTACTATAATAATGTTTTCTAACCTTATTCCATTTTTTGCTGAAACCCTGGTATTCTTATTGATTATATGGTGGCCAAACTTCGAGTATAATTATATGAAATAGACTTTAATATGAGATATCTTCAATGGTTGTTGTGTATAAATGGGATTTTAGGTTAAGTTTCGTTAATTGGTGTTATGTTATGGGTGGGCTTTTCACTACAAGAATCAATAGCGAAATAACAAGTAGGGATATGGAAACTTATAATCCGTCAAAGATTACACATTTGCACTTCGAAATAGACCATATCTTCTTGTGACAGATATATCAGAGACGGTTTGAGTATTCCTATTTACCTTTCTCCAATAAGAAAATAGGCGTGAATTTATTCCAAATGTGTTTGAGAAGGAAATAGTAGCCAAGAATATTAATTCAGATATTAGATGCCCTATCAAATGCACCATTTAGTTGGTTGCAAACCTTCAATATCACAAAAGAATAGAGAAAGTACAAGTAGAGTGGCAAAAGATTAGTAACCGATTTATAATTAGTTATCAGATTAGCTGTATATAATTTTATACCGTTGGCTTTACACTATGACTTCTAAAGCAATGTTAATAATTCGAAATTTCATATATTTAAAAACGCTGTTCAAGCCTTGTTTTGAATTGAGAACCACATCATGAAAGTAGTTTGAGAAATTACTTGCATTCTCAACCATGTTGCACGAACTTGAGGAATGCTACATATGACAGGAACTATATAACACTAAGGTAGTTGAGTGGAGTATATAACGTAGTCACTTGAACAAGTGACCTCCTGCGCATCCAGACAAGCTTGAAGGTAGGTCGTACAATTTCGCGTAGGGAGTAAGTGCGGTCGTGAACAAGGAGAGAACTCAGCCAAATGCAAATCAATATTCCTTGCTTGGTTTAGCAAACCCGTCATAGTAATGACCATCCTAAATAAATGTATTCTACGTCCCTCGTCTGGTTCCTCTATAGCTTTGATGTAGCTCATTTACATGTGGGAGCCTTTCAAAACATAGGCGAATCTGCAATAGAGATTACTGCGCATAATCAAGGCTTATTAGTATTTATTTATTTATATCTAATTGTAGGCGTTTTGATAGTTATCATTAGCACTTTATTTGACTTCGGGCTTCACAGAAAGGAGGTGGAACATCAAGGTGACAAAAATTCGAGAGAGGGGGGGGGGGAACAGAAGGGTGTTTTAAAGATGTAAAAGAGACAGACACAATGGTAGAAAAAAGGTGAGGTGAGTACTGTGTAAGGAGTCGAATATGACATACAGTGGAGTGATGGAAATTTGAAGTCAGAAGTCAACTTCCGGTTTATAGACTTTTTTGCCGTATGAGTTTACGATGCCCAGGATGCACCACGTGGAGGTTAGTCTATCGCACACCCCGACTTATTAATATAGCAATCCCCTACAGTGGAGATCACGTCAAGTCAATAATATCGATCTTTCAAATTCTACAATAAATCCAATGAAAATATTTTAAGAACTTTGGAGAAAACACCCATTGTAAGTGTTAGGAATCTAACTTGCTCCATTTAGTCTAACAAATTATCTAAAATTATGATAGAGTCAATGCTCGTCCAGATAATCGCCATCATGTCTTTAAAAATAAAATGCAACTAATATTCACAATTACCTTTACCAATATGTAGTTTTACAGGTACTTAATTAATAATGTTAATTACTATACTTTTAAGGACGAGTGTATGTTTCCCGGAATTAATGAATTACTTGATACCCACTTTAGTGAAACCTTTGTTCCGAGAACAGAACAAATGAAGAGCGTTCACAGCTTCAACTGAGATAAAATTTTGATGCTACATACGTGAAAAACATTCACGTACTTCTCTCAACATCTGATAAACCGATAAACAAATCGACTATCACTGAGACAATCATATCCAAGATTTCTGGCACAGCAAAGAACACTGATTCCGTCAGCAGTACAATGACGATCACGTCAAGTGAACAACCCACTGGCACTAAGTCTGCATCAACTTCCACTATTTCGATAACGACCCCATTAATCGATACGCCGACAACAGCAACGAAATATAAAAGATCCACAAGACCCTTCAAAGACAAGTATCACCCAACTTGAAGAAATGGTATGCGTTACCTCCGATTGAGAAAGTTAACATTTTCTGCAACTATAAATAATTTAATTCGAGATATAATCTTGATTTCCTAATTGCTCCATGAAAAGGTTTATAAGGGGAGGGAGAGGAGGGATGTAGGGTATATAGTGGTAAGTCAGTTAATGCAGTAATCTGGATGAGGGATCATTCGTAATAACATCACTTCGATTTTAAATCCATGCTTATTGGTTTGTTAGCTTCTGTGATCCCAATGTTTCCATACTGTAGTACTGCCAACTTCATCACGTTAGCTAGAAAACTGTTATGCCCAAGAAATTAATTAGGCTGAAAGGGTTCTTAAATAATTTAACTTATGAGGACAGGTAGAAATTTGGCCTTCGTTTTCGGAACTTAAGATAAAAGCGAGATGAGAAGAAATCAATAGTAGTGCGCACCATTGTAAGGAGGGGGAGCACAGTAACCTGTAACTCTAATAATAAATCGATAAATTTAGTTACGGAGGTTGGGGGG